GCACTGGGCCAGGGGTCATTTAAAATGGAGTGTGGCAAAATGGAAGACTGTTCTGTGGTCAGATGAGTCACGATTTGAAGTTCTTTATGGAACACTGGGACGCCATGTCATCCGGACCAGAGAGGACAAGGATAGCCCAAGTTGTTATCAACGCTCCGTTCAGAAGCCTGCATCACTGATGGTATGGGGTTGCATGAGCGCTTGTGGCATGGGCAGCTTGCATGTCTGGAAAGGCACCATTAATGCAGAGAACTATGTTCAGGTTCTAGAACAACATATGCTCCCATCTAGACGTCATCTCTTTCAGGGAAGACCCTGCATTTTTCAACACGATAATGCCAGACCACATTCTGCAGCAATCACAACATCATGGCTACGTAGGAGAAGGATCCGGGTACTGAAATGGCCAGCCTGCAGTCCAGATCTTTCACTTATAGGGAACATTTGGTGCATCATAAAGAGGAAGGTGCGACAAAGAAGGCCCAAGATGATTGAACAGTTAGAGGCCTGTATAAGACATGAATGGGAGAGCATTCCTATTTCTAAACTTGAGAAACTGGTCTCCTCTGTCCCCAGACGTCTGTTGAGTGTTGTAAGAAGAAGGGGGGAGACCACACAGTGTTAAAAATGGACTTGTCCCAACTTTTTTGGGATTTGTTGACGCCATGAAATTTGGAAACAACAGATTTTTCCCTTAAAATGATACAATCTCTCAGTTTAAACTTTTGATCTGTGATTTGTGTTCTATTCTGAATAAAATATTGATGTTGGCACCTCCACATCATTGCATTCAGTTTTTATTCACAATTTGTTTAGTGTTCCAACTTTTTTGGAATCCGGTTTGTAGATTTTTGAGTTGAAACAACAACATACAAAACAGTTCAGTCAACTAATAAATTTAAATCAATTAAAGCAAATGTTTATTTAGCAAGTTTATTAATCACAATAACTTGATAATGTTTATTCACTCATAATTTTAAGTTGAGTGAGCAGTAATGCCCTTTAACTCACCAGCTCTGCAGAACACAGCAGCTTCATTCCGGTCGGGCTGAGTTCTGGTTCGGCAGGTCTACCCAGCCCTGGTCGGGTTCCGATCAGCTCTCTGCATCCATTGGGCGCTGACGTCTCTAAGAATACTGTAAGGACCGAACAGTTTTGGATCGGATTAAAACTTTCCCTCCATTTCAGAAGAAAGCAACTTTGTCTTCTGGGTAATGTAGTCCTTTAGATTGGTGATAAACAGTGTTGCCAGATTGGGTGGTTTTTATTCTGATTTTGCAGGTAAAAATTGCTTTGGGCAGGTGGGGATAATTTGGTTGGATTTGGAGTCAGATCGGCGGTTTTTAAGTTAACCTATTAAACACATTTGAAACAATCATTCATCATTATTTCACAGCAAAGCTCTCCTGACCTTTCTCCATCACTGATTGCCTATTGTCATCTGCCAGGGTGTTCACAACAGAGAACTGGTGAGGCAGTTTTAGTGGACACCTCATTGAATGGGCTGACCAGTTGCAGTGGCACCTGCGGCACCAAAGACAACATTTATAACTTTTAAAGTGATTATTAAAAATGTTACTCCTTAAATGTTTAGGTTAAAGGTAAGGACTAAACCAACATATATGTTATTTTGAGTGTTTACAACTACTAATGTGTGTAACACTATTACTGTGGTGATGAATATAGAAATATTCATACTGAACATTTAATCTGTGCCTGTAATAACCAGATCCTGAAATGTGACATGTTGATTTTCTGAATAAAGAACACTAATGTTCACATTTACCTGATTTTGATTAATCTTATCTATGAACAAATAAACATCAATATATCCTTACAGGGGGTGGGGGTGTTGTGTGTGTGTGTTCTAACAGTAAATGTATCAATATTGGACGGGTATAAGATTGGGCGGTTTTTTGTGTGTTGGGGTGGTTTTTAACAGACTTTTGGGCTGGAAAACCTCATCTATCTTGCAACACTGGCGATACAGCGTAAGCTTATTGAGAGAAAACTACAAAATGGCAGCGCTTTTTTGTGTGCTGTTGTGTACAATCTTATAGTACTGTACTTTGAAAAACCGCAAAAGAGCGAGTCCGCAAAAGTCGAAGAACGAAGTAGCAAGGGTCTACTGCATATGCCGCCACATTGTGTTTACTTGTTAGAAGTTTTTACTGCGTGGAGAAGACATGAAGTTTGCTGTATGCATGTACTACCTTCACAAACATCTAACAAAGTCAAGTCAGGTCCTCTGAACAGATTATTTTTGTTGAAAGAAATAGGATATTTTGAAACACTTTGTCCATGACTGCTTCAAACGCGTTGGCAGCGGAGAGGATGGACTCCAGAACCATCTGAACACCATCCAACTGGTTGACCCACTGTGTGAAGGTGCTTTTTATAAGACTGAGTTTGTTGTGACTCCTTGACTGATGAAGTCTTGTGGATGAAAGATGAAACTTTTCAACAAAAATAAACTGTCCAGAGGACCTGACTTTACTTTGTTACATTTTTCTACGTGGATTATTGAGCATGAATCAGGATACCTTTACATACAGCTTCAAAATAAAGCACATCAGAGACTCTACTTCCTCAGGCGGCTGAGACGAGCTGGTCTGGGAAGCTCAGTCCTCACCTCCTTCTACAGGTGTGTAGTGGAGAGCATCCTGTGCTCCAGCATCAACGTGTGGCATGGAGGCTGCACAGCTGCAGAAAGAAAAGCTTTGCAGAGAGTGGTGAAGGCTGCACAGAAGATGTTGGAGTCAGCCTCTCCACCATCACATACATCTACACCTCCAGATGCAGGAAGCGAACCACCTGCATCAAGAAGGACCCCACTCACCCAGCACACACCCTTTTGCCCCAATCCCCTCACAGTGAGTGATGTCATCTTCTTCTACTCACCAAAGGAGTTCCTCTCTCTACAGACTGTGAAGGTTAATGTCTACATTAGAAACTCTCTGAACCTTCACAGTAAAACCCAAATCACTAACTCCTCTGTCTCTACGAATCAGACCCACCTTTGGACCCGAACCTCCACCAGCAGCTGTTTATCAGTAAATACTTTAAAACGTTCCTGTTGTGTGCTAATCTAAAACCCAGATCTTGTCAGATGTTATCCTGAGCCTGGTTCTGCTTAGGCAGGTAGGAAATGGACCTTAATCACTTTTTGGCAGAAAAAAATAAAACACCTATTTCAGGCATTTTTTGGCAATTTTTAAGTGTGACACTGAATTCAACCACATCTATATGATTTTTATCTCCATGAGTGAAAATTGCACTACAATTTTGCCTGAAGTTCTAAAATAAAAATTGTCAAAAACTTTTTAAAATTTATTTTGATCATTTATTGAGTTACATCCATCACAGGACAGTGATCACACATTTGTTCAAAATCTAAGCAGCTTAGTGCAGATAACTCGTGAAAAGAAGACTTTTACTGCTATATTTCTGTTAGGAATTTAAATGGGCAGATATTCATTCATTCTTTCAACCTTTATTTAGACAGGTTAATCCCATTGAGCCTCGAGGACTCATTTACAAGATAGACCTGATTTCAACAAAGAATGATGACAACAATGGAGAACAGCGACAACAATAGACAGTGTGAGAGGGTGCTATTTATGACAGAGCTGAATACAGCACCTCAGACTGAAGAAGTCTTTTGGATGAAAGACGAAACGTTTCTACAATTTTTTTGTTTTGTTTAATTTTTTTGAATGTCTCTGTACATTACAGACTTAACTTTTTTGGATTTTTCTACCTGGATTATTGAGCATGCATCAGGAAACAATAGACAGTCATAAAATAGGCATACAAATTTAAGAATATCTTTTTTTTAATCAAACTGAAACAATATAGAAACCAAAAGGACAATCAAAAGGAATAGCAGCAAAAAACAGTTAAATCACAAGGTGATTTAGAAAACCAAAAACAGGAACATGTCTGCATTGGTTTTTGCCAGGAACTTAACAGATGTTTGAAGCCACTAGAGGTCAAGGTTGAGAGCTTCAGGTCTTTTTGCAAGATATTCCAGGAAACAGTGGTGGTGTAAGAGAAGGCCCTTTTACCTAGTTCAGTTCTCACTGAGGGAACACTGCAGGTAATAATGTCCTGAGTGCGCACGCTGTAGCTGCACTCACGCAGAGACATGTAGGAGGAGATGTATGAAGGCAGCAGACCAAGAAGTGATTTAAAGATGAAAATGTACCAGTGAGAGAGTCTGTGTGAAGTTAATGATGTCCAGTTAACCAGTGAATACAGGGTGCAGTGATGGGTACGGTAGTTACAGCCAGTTATGAATCTTAAGTGCACCATGATAGACAGCATCCAACATCTGCAGGGTGCTTGTAGGAGCGTTCATGTAAATAATGTCACCGTAATCAATGGAGGGAAGGAAGGTCACAGTTAACAAGGCGTTTCTTAGCGTTCAAAGTTAGACAGGATCTGTTTCTGAGAAAGAAACCCAGTTTAACTTTCAGTTTCCTTACTAGGTTTTCCACTTGAAGCTTAAAAGAGAGATGTGAGTCGACCAAGACACTCAAATATTTATAGGAATCGACAAACTCAGGACACAGCTGAGGATAAAATCAGAAGAAGAACTGATGGGACCAACTTCCTGTTTGAAAAAAGCATCTCTTTGGTTTTATCGGCATTTAGGACGTTTGAGGTGGAACAAATCACCATTACTAACTGTTAGATAACTGGAGGAAATACCATTATGTTGAACACATTGCCTCCGATCTGAATCGTTAAGAGAACCAACCAATATTTATGACAAATGATAAAACACGTGAATGACACTCAACATCCCAAGTTTTAGGGCGTGAAAATGTTAAACCACACGAACCTTTGTTGTAATCTTGAACATAAAACAATATGTATGTTATTGGTGTTAATATATTTTTCTTAAAGAGTCGATCAGCTCTGAAAGCAGTCCCGTGGCGCGCTCCTTCCCGGTGGCGCGCCCGATCTCACCCGATCACTTTTTTTTGCACAACACCGGCTTCGGAGAGGCTTTCAGTCCGTCCGGCTCTGCGGACTCAAGGAGAGAAAGGTAACACCAAGGTCCAGAGCGCAGATATTGCACGAAATTATCGTTTTATTCACGTACCCGCCTCGTCACTTTGATTTGGAGGCTCGGGGAGGCAGGCAGATGTCGGTGTCAGCTGTTTGTTTCGGGACAAACCTCTCTGTTGTTACTTTTTGAAGTAAATTTAGCCGCTGCTGCTCCCGCTGTGTTTTCAGGGATTAGCCGCTGCTAGCTAGTTAGCATCCCAGGCTAAGACGACGTGTGTGTTCTTTCTTTAGCTCCGACCAACAAACCAACACCGCAGTGTGTAGATAACACGAGCTTTCACTCATTTAATGAGAAGCATTACCCTGTTTGTGTCATATCATACAAAAGAAGCGACAAACTGACTTACTCACCGGTTAGCTATCCCGGCTAACTACCTGAACAACTAGCTGGTGTTCGGTTCTATGTCTGGTATTAAAACAAGTGTTGTGCTTGTGTTTGACAACCTGTGATTTTGGAGAAAGATGCGTGACAGTTTTGGGTCGGGACATGCCAGCTGATAATCTGATATCTGAAACCATGTGATTGCGATGCTGCAATCTGAGATGGTTTAGTTTCTACGTTTTAATGATCCACTCCTGTGACATGTGACTAACATTTAGTGTGGGGAGTCGACACTAAACGTGTTAATGTTTGACCTTCTCATACAATGAGAATGGAGTGATGAACTGAGTTGAGGGAGTGTTTTGACAGTTCAGCTGTCAGGACTCTGGGATTTTTCCTTCAGCATCCCGCATCCGCAGCGCTGCATCCAGAAGGCGGATGAGGAGGTGCTGATGAGGAGGTGCTGCTGGTCATGTCCAAACGGAGCTGTCCGACTCCTCCTGTGTGCTACGGTATTAAAAATTAACTCCCAAACCCGTGTTCGTGTTTAATGTTTAAAGCCTTCTTATCCGTGGCTAGCTTAACCAGCTGCTCAGCCTGAACTCGGGTTCGTGTTTATATCCGACTCTTTAATAATGTTTAGAGTCGCTTTCGTGCGTGTTTCAGGTGAATAAGAGGCGTTTCCGAGCTGGAGTGGGCCTGGCTGACATGAAGCCGGCTGCTGGCATGCGCGTCGCGCCAGTAGTAGGAGAAACCACGTGGTTTGTCCAGGTTGGGCCTAGCAAAGCTAGCAACATGGCTAACAAGCACATTGTGTACATTTTTACAGCAACACGTCCACCCCGTGTTTATGACGCGTGCACGCGCGCACACACATTTAAATGTATGTGCGTGTATCAGATATGTGTAATAGCAGACAAAGGCACGCCCCTGTGTCATACAGCGGCGTCCTGCTGCACATCTGGACTGCTGGCCTGAACACTGAGCTCTGGCTGAGTTGTTTATGTTTGAGTCGCCCTGCTGATGCATGCAGCATGCAGGTTCTGATGTCAGGACTGCAGACGTGTGACCACTTCAGAGACATGCGGGTTCAAAATGTGCGCGTGCATATGGACCCAACGTATGTGTACTACACTCCTTATATCTTTGGATTTACTCCTCTTTGTTATTTGTCATCTTGAGTAAAGCTTCTGGTCAGAACAGCTAAATGAATGTTGAAGCGTAATTGCAGGACAAATGATGTGTCAGAATCAGGCTGTCACACTCACAGGGTTTGATTATGAGTGGGAATTGTTGTCAGAAGATCACGAGGGGAAGAATTATGACACTCATTTGGACAGACTGTAAATAATTTACATTGTAAAATCTTGAACATTGCTTGGCAGTGATTTATAATCAGAAAGCAAAATGTACAACTTTGGAACAAATTAAAGTGCAGATTTCTGATTTTCTCACATTTTACTATTTATAAGTATGTGTTTGAGTAAAATGATCATTTTTGATTTATTCTATAACGCACTGATAACATTTCTTGCAAATTTCTAGAAAAACTAGTCATTCTGAGTGTTTTTTCACAGAACTTAACAGGGGAGTGGTAGAGCAGAGGTTAGAGAAGATGGGTCTGTGATCGGAAGGTCATCCGTTCAACTCCCCAGACTGACAATATCAAAATGTGGGTGGGAAAGGTGAAGCACCCACATCTGCCTCCACCCTCTTTTGCCCCATTCTGGGTGGAGTTTGCATGTTCTGTCTGTGCATGGTGTTTTCTCCGGGTATTCGGTTTCCTCCCACAGACCAAAAACATGCATGTTAGGCTGATTGGTAACTGAATTGTCCCTAGGTGAGATCAGTGAATGGTTGTTTGTCTCGTTTGTCTCTATGTGTCTCTGTGATGGACTGGACACCTGTCCAAGGTGTCCCCTGCCTCTCACACACACAGTGACTGCTGGATATGGGTACCACTGACCCCAATAGGAAGAAGCAGGTAAAGATAATGGATGGATGTTTTCAAGTACCGGTACTTTACTGTCCATATTACGTTTTCAGTTTACCATAAATCACATATATGTTTTTATATACTGTATATAAACGGTCAAAACAGATCGTTTGACACTAAAAGATTTTTGTACCCAGAGTAAGCTAGTAAAATAATTCACTATCAATCCATTATTCATTTCATTATTTAAAGTAAACAGTGGTTTTATACTACCTTTTGGGTTGCATGAAGTTGCAAATTGCTTAGACTGGAGATGTTGACACATGAAACATGATATTAAATATGAAAAAAAGTTTGGTCTTTGTAAAAGACACTCTTTTTAGTGGGTGTAAACCTTTTTTTTATCCTATCTACATTATTCCACTGGCGTGGTGCCAAAAACCTTTAAATATGCTGCCGTCCAGCCTCTCCTGAAAAAAA